ATTTATAGACACAATTAAAGAACAATAGGTTGCGGTCACCGGTGACCGCTTGATGTTTGACAGTTTAAGCGCTGTAATGTGCACCTCTGCCTACCCCTTCAGAGATAAAAGGCGTTATGTTATGTGTTATATAGTTTTGGAACTGGTGTCCAGGTTTTACTATGTGAAAATTGACTGCGTTCATAAAGTACTCACATAGTTTAATTATAAAATATTAACGCTTACCTATATGCCGATAGGCATCTAAGCTTAGGTATCAAGTACTTACCTAATGTAAAGATTTGACTCTTTCATACAAATAAACGCTACTTAAACGGTAAATTTACAGCCGTTTTACTTAGATAAATTGTTTATCTATAACTCTAAATTCACTCCTTGTGCTCTTGAAGAGCTTATTGTTCACCTCTAAAAATACTTCAAGTATTAGTTCAGGTGATTTTAAAAACTTCATATTTTACATATAAATCTCTAAGATAGTTTAAAATCGCCTGTATTTTATACTGAACAAGGTGTTTTTTTGTATATCAGGTATTGTTGTCTGGTACATAATATGTCATAAAGTAAGCGATTATTTGCAAAGTAAGTATAGCCGTTTTTCGTTTAGAATACAGATGTGAGTCAGAACATGATCTCAGGGTATACAGTTATGGGCTCCAACCTTCCATAAGAGGCTGGTGACGTGCCTACACAATGTTGTCTTAAAACCAAATGGCAGAAGTCAAATTTTGTACCTATATTTTGGCAATCGTGTCCGTTCTCTTTTAACGATACAATGATTTTTATCGACTTCAAAAAAAGGAGGAGGTACTATGTTCGGCTGGTTGTTTTTTGTTTGTTTGCGCATTACTCCGCCATTTGTGAAACGATTTCCAAAATTCTTGTTTTGTTTGAAAGGGTATACTCCCGAAATGCTCCCATTTACATAAAGTCAGGATCTGATGATGGGATCCTAGGGAAACCGAGGGGAACTTTAGAAAATTCTAGGGGCGAGTAGTGCGTCTATTATGTTTTTAATTAGGATTTTTAAACGCTACAATTTGATAAGGGTCTGGGGACGAACTGATGATGGAACCGACAGACAGTCGAGAGACTCCTCAGCGGTTTATAACACTAATTTTAACAACCGTTGATAATATATGTAGTACGAAAATACTGGAGTAGGTATCTATCTAAATATAAACCAACAAAGCGTAAACTGGGTGCAAACAATTGAGGCTTAACAGCAAGTCTATGACATCAAAATCAATAACAGACAACGCTTCTGTTTTATATCCCAGTGAAGCATGAAACTCTACCCGGTGTATGAGCAAACACATCCTTATATTGATGCAATATAACTAAGATATTGGTAGGGTATCTTGTGTACCAGCAGAAATGATGGTATTACATACAATATCTACATTATTTTCTGCAATCGTAACCTCGGAAATTGTTTAGTATGTTTAACAATTTTCACATTACTACGCAAACTAATTCATATTTTGTTGTTGCAATAGGTAACGTACCTACTTGTCAATATGCATCGAGGACGTTACACTATGTAGGTTGGCTTACAGATTTCAAATAATACCGTTAAGCAAGTTTAACCTCAATTTTATGGGGTATTAGCCCTGTTTTACTTTGTCAAACAATGGTTAAGATTGGACACAGGTCATTTAGGCTTCATAGGATGATATGATAATGACGCTTGGTTAAAATTCTACATTTTTATAGGTTCTTCCCGTGTGTTGTTTGATAGTGTATAATAAAAATGAGGAAATGTCACATCAAATTCATAAATAGGTATTTAGTAGGATTACTTTACTTTTTATCGGCAAAAAGAGCTATCCTGTCTGCCATAACTTTTATAAAGTTCACAGAAAACTTTATATGTAATTGATTTTGCACGATCTTCAAATTAAACTCAGGAAGTAAAGTCAAGCTTCATTTTTTTTGTTTAATTAATAATGAGCTACTAAACATTACCTAATAAGCGTTTATTAAATCTGATTTCATAGGTTTCCTTGTACTTTATAAAAACCTAAGTGCTCACGATCATCAGGCCAATAATTGTACATAGGTATTATAGATATAAATATCAAGGTTTTCAGAACAGTTCCTTGTAGCTGCATTTAATTTGGTCTTGAAAACATAACCTTTAGAATGTACCTGTTAATTTCAGATGAGGTCACCAACTAGCTAATTTAATTTGATCTATTTCAAATGTTAACGTTAATTTTATGTATTCATTCATTATAATTATTATGCATAGTAGACCGGTTTCGTAATAATAAATTAATAATTCATCGAAGTGACATGAATTTGATTGGTTTAATCATTGATTTTGAGTTTCTACTGCGAACTAGCATCTTATTCCAAACTCTTAGGTGTCTAAGCACAAAATACTAGTTCGAAGTAACCTATCAATTTTCTTAAATAGACTATTACCGGTTTAATTATCTTCGTCGCTCTGTGAAACTAGCAAAGCATACTACACCGTATTGCGACCATAAGGCCAACGAAGCGAAGAATGCGCCTAAATGTTTACGCGAATACTACAAAAGAGTTACTAAATGGAAACATTATAATAATTAGCCGAGGTCACGTAACAATGCATTGTGCGGTATCAGTGGTAAGAAAGAACAAATTGAACGAAATCATTAGCAGTCGTCCAGCGCGCTTGCTTGCACAAAAGAGCATTCAAATTGTTGTATTGAACGGAGCATAGGACTATGTATGTAGAAAGTGCTTTTCTTTCTTTTTGTTTGCATACACATACATAGGTACTAGGTACTATGTGATTTGTGTTTATGGATGACTATTTTTGTTACAGTTTAAATAAGTAGGTACCTACATTGTTTTAATTTAGGTACATACATTTCATTTAGGCGATGATAAAGTTACTAAAGCACTTGCATAATCCAAACTAATGGGTCCTTTCTCATTGTATTTTTACAAGAAAGTACATTTTTTATTTCATTCATTTTAAAGAACGACTTTTTAAACTGACTGGCCCTTTTGCCAATATTAAAGTGGGTACAGCTCAATTGGATATTATGTCACTTGAATAAAATTATGTACCACGCCACGCCCTTTTATCCGAAAAGGGCGTGACGGTCAGTTTGTAATTCACAATGCACATTGCAGGTATATTTTAAAGTATTTACGAATGCACTTTAATGAATCAATTGCCCATGAGAATGCTGGACTCCTCGTGGTTAGACGGGTTGGAGATCACATTACTAAATGATCAGTGGGCTTACTCTTGAATTCAATTCCGATCGGTCGACTTTGGTATTGTAAAATTTCGTACTATTGAGTTGGAATACTAGAAGTCATTGTATCCGTATTGCATGGATACTTAACAAACTCAATGGTATTGAATTTGGATTTATATTCCGAATCTGAATGAATATTTTACTAGGTACGATAGGGGTGTTGTTTAGTATTGACATTTAATTATTATTGAGATTGTATTGGATTGAAATTGCATTGATATTGAGATTAGTTACAAGAGTAAACACCCAGGTTTATCAGAGAGCGCTGCTGAACCTTCGGGACTAATGGAGTAGGGCTGCTGACAAATACATTCTACTCTACTCTTACCTAAAGACAAGTGATTAATCATATAAAACATTATAGAAATGAACCATATGTCGTTTATATACGGTCTGGTCTTGTTACGTATAGTGAGCGTTTACTTTCACTAGCGCGCGACCTTGACAACACGTGACCGCGACTGATCGAGTTTTGATAGTCGAGTAGCTTGCATCTACAACAGATCATGAATGTAAAGGAAGCATGAATTTTTATTACGTCAATTAATTCATTCGGAAGTACCTATTCAGTTGGATATCGATGACAGTTTAATTGTAAAGTTAAAAAAACATATTTGAAAGTACACTTAAGTTTGCTAATAAGAAACAGATTTACTGTAATAATGAAGTTGAAATCAATTCTTTTTCAAATAGATATCGTTGTTTTTTAATTTGTACCTAATTTTATTTCTTTCGACGTAATCAGAGCTCTTTCTCACCGTTTAATTTACTCTAGGTACCACCTAAACATTTCTTCATATTTTTATTAATTTTCCTAGTTTTGTCAAACCGTTGACTTAACAGACACTCTACCTAGCCTTGAAGCTTTTAAATTAATTCTCTCTGTTCAGTTAGAACACATAACATCTAATTGACTGTTTATAAAGTAGACTAAAAAATTAAAACAAAGTTATGTAGGTTGGTATGTATAGGTTAAAGTTGAGGATGCTGTAAAACCCGAATCCTTATGAACACTTTGTTGTAACGATTACTTGATCTTCCCTTCACTCGCATTACGTGGAAGCTTTAATAATGTTACGAGTGCATTCTGAGGTACAAGGTTTTTAACACAATGTGTGAAATATTTCGGTTACAACAATGTAAACACGATTGTTATGGCAAATTGCTCTATTAAATTTAATTTATTTATCATGCACGCAGACGAGGCATTTGTTCGTAATGGTTTATAACTTCCCAAATTACATTTAGGCTCCAAATGTAGCTTCACTTTTGATTTTTGGCATAGTAACATTTGGCAAAAACAATTGAGCTGGCTAGCTAGAGCCAGAGCTCTTCTATGTTATAAATGTTATGTATGTGTCTTTAAGAGCTTCGTACCATTGTTATGTTATACGATTAAGTATGTAGGTATACTCTACAGTCTACATTTAGATACAGTTTTATTGTATAGTCTTTCTTGTTTTCTAGCTATTAGGAACTAATTTATTATGTTCCACATAATTATGTTGTTTTACTCTAATATACATAAATTTTAATAGTATTTTTTATTTTCCTTAAGTAGCATTTTATTAAGTGTTGTACTCATTTACATCGATTAGCTGATAACAAACCACAGATATATTATATTTTTGTGTAACAAACGAAGCGGTATGTGTGACACAAGTTGTCAGACATTCATCTACCCTTCAGAAAATAATAAAATATTAATTAAATTTAAGTAAATATTGGATAGCCTTTCCTTACCTCTCAGTATTGACAGTTTTATTTCATCCTGACACAGAGTGATCACCCGCTCTATCTTCTGTGGCGCTGTTGGCGGATTGCGGCATCTTGACTCCTAGAAAAGGAAAGAACAAGAAGTTAGAAAAAAGTAATTTGTAGAAAAGGTACTTTAATTTTTTATGTGGCTTTGATAACATCACTTGCATTTGCCAAGTATATAAGTTAAATAAAGTCTCAGACTTCTCACCTTCTACTTCATGATTTAACATACTATGAATGTATTATTGTTCTGCACTACAATGCGGATACTGAGATGAGTCAGAAAAAGCTACTTGATACATCATTAGTTCCTAATATTTACAATACAAAGTAACAACGAATTTACTTTTGAGAATTCTTTTTTTGGAGATATTTGTTTGTAAGAAAGCATCAGATACCCTTCCTACTGTCGTATAAATAAGGCTTAGGAAAGTATAGGCATGGTAAAACTAATGCTAACAAGAAATCGCATAAAAACTCTATTTATAGGCTACCTACTCAATTTTAAGTTGAACTTAAATATAGTGCCATCTCTGTTATTTTACAAAGAATTTTTAGTAACAGAACTATGCTTCAGCGTGAGTTTAAATTGAGTGACGATTGTCGCATTGACGTATTACAGCGCAAGATACCTAGTTCTTTCGAGTGAATCTTTAACAGTAACAGTATTTACAACTTCCTTAGTAGAAATAGCATTAGTTTATCGTGTCCCATCCAATGGTCGACAACACACCTTATCTATGTATAGTTACGAGTATCTCGTATAGTACATACACTTGCTACACATGGGAACACTTTCACTCGGCGCCCACAATTGTGATGGAAAAGCGTCATGCCTCTATTGTTCGTACGATAAGTTAATAACACCTGACTACGCCCTATTTAAAAAAAATATGACTAGACTGCAGATTAGGGATATAATTATCTTTCAAAGTAACTGTTCTGTCAAGGACATAGCTGTTTTTTTATAATTAAAGGCTTTTAAGCCGTGTTGCCAGAAACAGCCCAATGCTTTTCTATAGCACTTTTAATTAATTAGGTTTTATTCATTCTAGACCCCAATGATATACCTAAGTTGTATGTATGTAAGCATAATAATTATTATCATCACTTAAGAAATAGAGATTTTATCAACAGTCAGTCGAAACAAAGAAATTCTTAAAATGGTTTTGTTTTACTTTCACATTTTCATTAGTTTGGTAGAAAGCATGACGCATATGGTTTGAGCACGCATACATTAATTTGATAAAGTAATTTGTCTGCAGAACAATTAATAGGTGGTTTTGCTCTCGAATCGGATAAAGAATAAGAAATTCGTACTACCAGTATTGGTTTTGAAATTTTGATTGGTGCAAGACCATTGCCTTGCACTATTTCTTTATCCTTATTCATCGCCATCGTTACCCGGGTAATTTTCCTAAAAACTTTAACATATATTTAATTACAATTATTTTCACGCGTTGTTAAGTTACCTAATAATTTACTCATTTCAATATTTTTATAGCATTGCGTGAGAGCAAGGGTATATACCTAGTTAAAGTTTTCAACCAGCGGAATGTTAACTTTGGGTTGAGGAGAATGACTTATTTATATTGTAATTTCGTAAGACATACTAAATTGATTATTATGTTTTTCGACTTACTCACGTAATTATTCAATGAGGAACTCTACTACTGATTGCATAGCAGCGCGGCTCGCGGAATGCTGCTCATGAATATATGAGTCTCTAGCATGGCTTGAAACTAGTCGAGTACCTCGTCGAATACTTACGTGAGTAAGCCGAAAAACATAATAACTAATAAATTTAGGATAATTCCGTCGTCAATTGTTGCTTTTTTTTTGAAGAATCATAATAATGTTGACTTGCATTAAGTGAATTGGTCCGGTTATTACTTAAAAAAAATAATCATCACGTGGTTCAGAAACGCTTTGAAATCTAATAGGTACAATACAAGTATCTAGACACCGTAGTCTTAGACGCGAATTAAAACTTGTTCTATGCTAATTAGATTAGCATTCTTTACCATTCCCATTACCATTTCTTTTCCTTTTTTGAACAATGCCAGTGCAGTGTCTTCGTTCAATATAGTTTTCACATCCGACTATACAAAAATGTACCATGAGGTTAAATTGTAACTTGGAAAACTGTGACGGAAGATTAGCCACGGTTACAACTCGTGCCGTAATGTAACGAAACAATTTGGGCTTTGCAACTATTGTACTAACAATCAGAAACAATAGATCTTACTAATCGGATATTGAATGACTATTTGTTTTATTCGTGGAGTTAGTGTCAAGGATTTTAATACGTGGGAGATTTTAAGTGTAGGTAACCTTAGGTTTGATGGGCTAATGTGTTCATCCAATAGATGTGTGCTGGTTTGATACTTCTACATATCTGATACTGCTTTATATTGAACTGAGTTTTGCGAGATATAATTTCAAAATCTAATAGCTGACTGACTGCACGGTTGGCGCGTTGGTTGAGCAATTGGCTGCTGCACAACGTGTCGAGGGATCGATGCTCACACGGAACAAATCTTTGTGTGTTTAACAGTTATAGGTAATATGTGTTTGTAAACGCACCCACGAAACAGGAGAAAATACTAGTGTGATGTAACGATTTTCAAGAAAAAAATAACAAAAGGTAACCTAAAGGTATCACAAACAACAATGGTACTTCATCTTGACCTTACAATATTAATTGAATAATCTATTTAATGAGAAATACAATGTTAGGGTATCGTCACACTGCATGACTCGTCAATGTCACGTTCAAACTATTGGTGCATATAGGCGAGACAAATTGTTAGGTTATTGAAGATTATGCTTGAATTTGCCTTCACGAAACAAAAACTGTGAATTATTGGTTTGTAACTGAAAATAATTAGCAAAAACAAACCGTTATACCTAACTATCTGTCTGTCTGTTGGACAAAGACAAAGGCCATATCCAATATGGATGTAGACTATTAATTCATAAGTAACTGTCGCAACATGGGCGTTACCTACTTAAAATAAATAAACATGAAACTTCAAAGTATGTGTGGCCTAACTCGAGCCCTCCATAACCATACCATCGCAAACACAGTTGACCTTGGCAAGCATTAGCAGTTCTCCAACTATTTCCAAAGCATAGCAATCCATAACTCCCGTAATTTCGAAACAAATGTCATTTCGCATTGACAAACTTTTCGCAATCTAAGCCGACTTCACAGAACTCAAAGTTAAGAGTTTCTTCACAAAGTAAAAGAGTACAATTATAATATGATTAGTTTACAAATGAGATCTTTCGAAATTATCTCTAGGTTGTGTAGATTTCTGAGGGGTCTAACAACAAACGTTTGGTAAATAGATTGCATAACAATATTATATTATAATAGAACACTAGTTATATTATATGACAGTTGCTAATGAATACTGCACATTGTATGTAGCGTGAGAATGCGGTTATGAACAGATACAGATCTTTGTCAAAACATTAATGGATTATGTGAGAAATGTGGTCGTATTTGGGTCAAGCTCGTCGTAGATTTCATAAAGGAATCATAGATTAACAAACGAAGTATTTATTAGAAAACTAAATAACTAAACGTCCCGTAAAATAATGGATAGAGAGATCATAGAAATACCAAAACTAAATACATTCTTTTGCATTTAAAGCATTCTAAGAAATTAAATTAATAGGTACCTAGAGGTGAAAAAAATTTGATGAAAAACTACGAAATGAATAGAAATATTACAGATAGAGCAGAATACAGCCAAATTAGTGCAACTAACTTATCCACAATTTTAACCATTAACAAGACAGCCTAAACATACGATTGCCAACCAGCTATAACTATTCATATTTACGTCACTAAGACCATGTATGAATATTCAAGGTATTAGACAAATGTATGTAGGCGAAGCGATGACGATATGAGGTCTTAAGACATTGACCAGTTTGAGCCTGCCCTTTTAAGTCGGATAGAAAGTCAGTTTTATGATCAGTTAAAAGCGTAATTTGCTATTAAATGCTGGAAAGTTAAAAGCAATCTTAGAATTGAGGGAAACTTGATTACTTGATTCATTTGAAGGTAATTATGTCTTTCGCCCGACCGAGAAACATGCACTTGATGGTGATCGATTTGTTTGTTAGACAGCTGTTTACAGATAGCTCAGTGTCATACGCATTTAATTGTTTAACTTCAGTTATTTTTTAATCAACTCCTGATTCCTTTCTTTGACTTAGACCTACATGTGTTGATCTAACTCTCAAAGAAAGACTTACTCAAGTACTAAATATTGAACTAAAAATGCCTCATCTAAATGTTTTAATCAAACACTAAGCAGTGCACGCGATTTATGATTTTTGTTCTAGTTTATTACGAGGTACCAAGTAAACATGAATTACAAAATTCCTATGAGGAAAAAGTCCACTTTACCGACGAAATTTAAATTTTAAGCAACATCTTGCCATGAGATATGAAACCATCCAAAGTCCAGTACCAGTCTTAAGTCCTAATTTCCTAACTTCGTATAGCTATGCAGTCTAATGATGCAAGATACTGAACTCTAGCTCTTAGCCAATAAGTTCAACTTGAGTCCAATTGCCGGCGCGCGCAACACCCGGCGTCAACTTATGTAACTGGCGGAACATCGATGCAAATGGCAATAGCGGCTTTTTTATTTTGATTTTTTAATGAAATGTAAACCTTTAGTAAATACAGTTTGTTTTTAATCAATAGGTTCTACTATTTAATCAAATCACTATTATTACAAATGGATTTGTTTAAGGCACACGAGCAAGAAACTCAAAACTAGGACATTTTTAAATAACAAAATGGAGTCTTTATTGCAAAACGATGTGTACCACGCTTCAATACAAAGCCAGACTAGGTAAGGAAGCAGTAATAACATTTATGAACGTTATTAAATAAAGCTCAACATTCCATTCTAAGCCTAATGACTTTGAAATTGATTTAACGATGCTTAACTTATTACCTCGATAAAATATCTTTACTAGATCAAGAAGATAATTAAGATTGACGATAAGTTAAGCCACATCCACAATTTATGCCTTTCAATGTAATGC